GTCTATTTACCTGCGTTTAGAGACTTGGAAGCAAAGAGTGAAATCATTTTCAGTATGAGCATAAGGCTATCGTATTTGCCTATTGGATTTTTTATTGTTGTTAATTATTAAGTTAAAACAAAATGGAAAAATCCAGCGGGCAAATGCGACGGCTGTAGAGCGTTTCCCAATTGAAAGGCCAGCAGCTATGTAGCAATTTATTGGAACAAGAGAAGCATTTACTCAAGAAAAAGAGTTCATCTCCCACAGGTTTGATTTGGAACACTAACATGACCGCCATTCCATTGTTTTGGGACACCAATATGGCCGCTGTTTCATTGTTTCGGAACACCAATTTGGCGGAAGTGACGTCATCGGAAAACGCCCTATACACTCTATACTGCAAATGAATCCACCCAAAGTTTTCAGACAAATGGAAAAGTTTACTTTGCGAAAAATATCTAATTAATGTTTGCGGGAAAACTGGCCAACTTGCAAACGCCCAGACAGTTTTTGCTTCATGATGAAATTTTTTTATCAAACTCTTGACAAAAAAGGGGTGAAGCGACCATAAACTCATTCCTGTATGTCTGTTTAATAGGTTAAGATTGATAATGTTATCTAAATACAGCGGTTGTTGTGTTTAGCCAAGTTAGTAATTCGATATGATTAATCTTCAAAATTTACTTTGAAAAACTGTCGTATTATTTATTATGCTTCTCAAGGTGGTTCTAACATTTGAGTCTGTGGACGTAATCCTAAAGTGTGACCGTTCAAATGAAAGCTACTGAGCAGTACTTTCCTGTGGTACTGTTTATTATACTGTACAGGGTGGTTCTAACTTTTGAGTCTGTGGATGAAATCCTAAAGTGTGACCACATTTTCAAATGAAAGCTACTGTACAGCACTTTTCCGTAGCAAAGTTTACGTTGTACAAGGGGCAGGGTTCTAGCTTTTGATTCTGTGAACGAAATCCAGCGATAAAGCCATTTAACAAAGAAAAGCTTATCTACGAGTTCTGTTACATGGTAACGTTTGTTTTGCAGTGTGTTACAAAATAAATTTTGGAAATTGTTCTATATCCTGCCACTTCCGTGGACAAACTCAGGAAAGCAAAAGAATTGCCTGGGCGTAAGCAATAATCTGGCTTCGTCAATAGTCCATTTTCGAGTTCGCTATGATCGCTGAATTAAAGAAGTGAAGACGCATTTTTTACAACCTTAGCCTCAATCTGAAGTAATATATTCACAAATTCCAACGAGAAAAAGACCTGTTTATTACTCTGTGTATTGTGTATACAGCTATTTCGAGAAAGGTTGTCGGAAAAAGTGCACGCGACAATCCCGAAAGGTATTGTGGGTGGTTTTGAATTCACTGTTTTTCAAAGAAGTTTGAAAGAATGACACGAGAGGCGACGGAAGTATGCTTGCGGGTGCTAAAAGAAAGCATCAAAAGTAGGTTCGACAGCTACAGTGTCAGGAAGAGTGTGTTGATCATATCCCATATTACCTATCGGGATTGTCGCGTGCACATTTCTTCCGACAACCTTCCTCGAAATAGCTGTATTCAAGTTCAAACACTTACTTGCCAGAATTTCTGAATATTTTACTTTAAGTCGAGGCTAACCCTGTACAAATGTGTCGTTAATGTTTATATTCAGCGCTAATTTTTAATTCGAAACTGGACTATTGTTATCAAGGCAGCAGGAGCAAAAGCCTTTTTGGGCGACGCAAGTCAACCGAAAATGAGGCCTTTTACCTTTCAACAATCCTTGAACGCTATAAAATTTGTATTGCCAATTGTCTTTACTCGTATGCAGACGATTTGGACAGGACTAATGTCCAAGAATACAGAAAGTCGACTTCCGGTGGACGTGCCTCGCTCAAAAACGTCTTTGCTTGGGCTCCACGATCACTAGCCTCCCACGCAGGCGTTTTTAGGGGAGCTCGTGTGGAGGGATGAAAAACGAGCTTCCCTAAAAACGCCTGCATGGGAGGCTACACGATCACTAGAACGTCGCTGGAGGAGTAATCACTAACGCATATTAATATTAATATTAATTTCATGGAAATAAATTAAAGATGTTTGATACGGGAAATAATATATAACACGGAAATCAGCTAAGCTCAAGCTATTGCAAATTACTAAAAATTGACCCTAAAACTTTATACACCCACTAACTTAATCAAGCTATCATAAAATGTTGTTTCCTTTTAGGCAATGACTACATAAAATTAAAATAATTGAGGAAGTATTTGGCTTATATACACGAAGACTAAAAAAATAGAGGTGAACTTTTTGAAGTTTCTCTGCACAGATTACTAGTGAAATTTTTAATTTTTGATGCTAGAAACAACTAAGCAGTAGAGCAGTTTTGAATCTTAGCGTCGTCGACAATCGATCGAAAACCACTTAAGCTGAATGTTATTTCCGTGTAAATGAAGAAAATCACGTAATTGACCTTTTTACCGATATGGCGACCATATTGAACAAGTTAATTTAAGGAGTATTATGGGATGCCCAGGGGGCATGAGCACATTTTGTTTAGTATTTACAAGAGCCTTTCGAGGCAATTTTTTCTTTTCCCTTTGTAATGAGAAAAAAAGATCGTTTTCCGAGTTAGGATGAAATAATGATTGCCTTTTTCCCCGAGAAATATACAGTGAAAGACCGTATTTCTAATACTAAGCGAGTTCAAGGGATCTTGATCATGCCCCCTGGGTATCCCATAATACTCCTTAATCGAATTAATTCAATATGGCCGCGGTATCGGTAAAAAGGTCTATTGATTACTACGGTAAAAGCTCCATTTCCTGTTTACAAGTGCCCGTAAGATTCTTCACCGTTTAAATGGAGTAAGTCACCATTGAAAAGCAAATCAGAATGAGATTAATTTTTGGAATAAACATGACTAATCTTTGACGAAAAGGAAAGTAACCAACACATTTATCACGAGATATTATTGTGTAACTGGCTTGAAGGCAAAGATAACCTCCAGTGTTGGAGCAAGTTTCCAAACAAATGTTTTGCAAACTCCAGAATTTATTGAATTGTTTTCCCTTCTTATACAAATTTATTAATCCCACTGAAATTTAACTAACTGTAGGTCTAATTTGCTCCAGAATGCAGAAACCTGAAGGATTGCGATGGTTGTAAATAAAATAGTGACAGCCAAATGACGTCATAATAATTCAAAATGGCGGCGCAGAGGAAATTGAATAGCTATATTCATATCCAGCTTCTGGTTCATTCAATTTTTTAATTTTTAGAATAACAATGGAATTACTTTTTACTTTTCCTTTAAACATGTTCTATTTACTCTCATTCTTTAAACTGAGTTTTGCGTAGCTGTCGTTTTTGAATGAAAAGGCTTTGTTAAGAACGTCATCTCTTTTGTCAGCTGTGGGCTGCTTACTTCCCGGAGGTTTCTGTTTGAGGGAATGCTTATTTGAGGAAACGAGATAACCTTCTCTTAACTATATATTTGTTATTTAAGATTTCAACAAGAGTCTTACTTCAAAATTCTTTAAGAGGAAACGTGAGTTGATATAGCGAAAAACACGTAGAACACAAAAAACCAAATGGCATCAGCATTCTTTGTTTTGAATAGTAATCAGTACGTTGGCTCAGTATACAGGACGAGGGAGGGGATCTCTTACGAAAGGAACCGTATTAGAGCTTTTACCGTGGTAATCCTCTTTTAAAATATATTCCTCGAATTCAATAGTTCGGTTCGTTTGGTATAAACCTCTGGTGATCACTATACAAGTTGTCATCACTTCATCAAAAATTAAGCAAAGCGAATAAAAACAGTATCCCAAGCAAAAATATACACAAAACGTAATCTGAAGTACTGAACTCTACTGGCTTGCAAAATTTTCAAAATATACATTTCTGAATACACGATTTTTGTTCTCGTTAAGTAGCTGTTGCTTGGCAGCAAATGCGTAAAAAAGCGAGTTAAAAAACAAACAAGAGATAATCTCTTGAAAAAAATTATATCCTTTTACCCGAAATATGCATAAATATTTTAGCCCTATGTTCTTGATAACACCCTAAGAGGCATTCTTTGTAAAACGTTATCTCTCCCCTAAATATCAGCGCTTTCCACTCTTGCATTTTTCTTAAACCAACGCGCTCGTAAAAAGTTAATTTGTACGTTGAAGTCACTACGTCGGTCGGAGGAGGTCTTTCCTAGAAAGACCATAATACTCTCACATTGCAGGATTAACCCCGTATTTGGAAAGAAAAAAACCTGAATGTCCTTTTTTCAGCAACTTCCAGACAATTTCTATAACCACCTCAACTGAAAACGAACACACCAGTGCCAGTCTTATCACTTTTGGATTTTGAAGGCTACTTTCCACTTGTTTTAAATCAGACCTGATCTTTAGAGTTTTCTTTATGATGATACAAGTTTGAAATTGAAACTGATAAGTCAAGGACCACATCCCCTGTACTGGGGCGTTCGGTTTCAGAGCACGTACGGCTCGTTCCAAGAAAAAAAGACATTGAAGGACTCTGCATAAATACGAGGCTAAAGTTTCATGGGCCTTAAAGTTTCTTATAGCAATTCTGGGAAAGGCCAACAATGAAGTGGGGCTGCATTGAAAAGAAAGATCGTGAGCAGGACTTTACTACCGAGATCTAAAACATTCCGATGCTTTGTTTTACATGTGACAGGTAGGCTTGTATCACACTTGGCAGAACGGGTCAAAGCAATTCAGCGTGCGTTTAGCAAAATATTTCCCTTTTGAAAGCAATGAAATCCAAACGAATCAAATCATTTCAACTTTCTGATACAGAAAACTTCGTAAATTCTGATGGCATTTCCTCCTCAACTTAAGACACACCTTTA